ACGCGCATTCATTAATTATGCATAATTTATGCATAATTTCGCCTCCAGGGGGCGCGCGCGCGTACCACAAGTGCCTGCATGAACTTTGAAAATTTTCCTGCAGGCAAAACCACTCACCACAATCAAAAAAGGACATCACCCCCCCTCTAAACCTTCAACACACAACAACTCGGTCAAAACTCAACCAAAATCGACAACAAAAATACCAGGATCATCCAATTTTTATCCTCTTCGACGCCACGGACTCGGATTTTTTTGATTCACCACCGGTTCACTCCCAACTTGCAGGTACACTCTAAACTTCAAAAAATCATAACTTGGCCATTCCTCAACCAAAATTCACAAAAAAAATACCAAAAGTATCCTTTCTTCTTCCTCTTCAGCGCCATGGTCTTCAATTTTGCTGATCCACCACCAGTTCACTCCCAACTTGCAGGTACACTCTAAACTTCAAAAAATCATAACTTGGCCATTCCTCAACCAAAATTCACAAAAAAAATACCAAAAGTATCCTTTCTTCTTCCTCTTAAGCGCCATGGTCTTCAATTTTGCTGATCCACCTCTGGTTCATTTCCAACTTGCAGGAGGGGTTCCTCCCGGCGAGCGTCTACAGGCCAGCTCGCTGGGAGCGGTTCCTCCCAGCGAGCTGGTGTTTAAACCAGCTCGCCGGGAGGAACCCCTCCCGGCGAGCGTCCACAGGCCAACTTGTCGGGAGGAACCCCTCCCAGCGAGCTGGTTTTTATTGTGGTCAGAATCCTTGGTTGTGTCATTGCTCCTCCGTGTCCTCCTCTTCTACCCCTGAAGCTCCAAATGTGGAGTTTGCACACTCCCTACAACACCCCCCCTCAAACTCCACACAACTACAAGAAAACTGAAAATGAGATCAAGAGAAACAAAGAGCAATAATGAAAACTGAGAGTTAGAAGCAAACATGATAACAAGATTATGGCAGAAGGTGGATAAATGTTATGGGAGTTTTGGAATGAATTGGAAAAAATAATAAACTGAATGAAAAAGATATGAGAATGAGAAAAGAAAAAATTGGAAGCTGAGAAGAAGTATGAAAAATATGGTGGGCGGTTTTTTTTTTTTTTTTTTTTTTTTTTTTATTGAAATATTTTGTTCATAGAAATGGAATGGAGATTGGCGCGTAGGGTCTTTGTGAAGAAGTTGGCTAAGTTGTTGTTGGTTGATACCCATTCCAGCTTGATGTCGTGTTCCCGCACCGCATCATTCACAAAGAAGAAGTTGCGCTCTAAGCTCTTCATCCTTCCTTTTGAAGCATTGTCGTCCGATACCAAGACTGCGGCTCGATTGTCACATTTCAGGGTCATGGGAGGAAGACTGTCTAAGGATTTCAGAATGGGAATTAAGAAAAGTAGAAAATCAACGGATGAGCCCAATGCGATAAATTCGGCCGCGCATGTGGATGTTGCCACTACTTTTTGTCGACGTGAACCCCAAGCAATTGGGCTCCCTAAGAAATGGATGATGAACCCCGAAGTCGAACGTTGGAATTCACCTCCCCAGTTTGCATCCGTCCAGGTTGTCAGTTGATTGTCGGACTCTTGGAGATGAAGGCGTTTGTCGCGTGTGGTGGCAATGTATTGGATAAGGTGTTTCAGCGCCGCCCAGTGTGTCTCGTTTGGATTTGCGCTGAACCGGGCCAGATAGTTGACAGCAAAGCTAAGGTCTGGCCGCGTACCAAGAGCCAGGTAGTTGATTGATCCAATAAAAGACTGGTAGAGAGTTGGTTCTACTGGGTCGCCCCAAGAGGTAACCAAGTTGTCACCCTGTAGTGGAGTATACGTCGGGACAATATGTTTTTGGATTTGAGAGGTGAATTTTTCCACGGTTTGGTCGATGAGAAGGTGTTGACTGAGAAAGATGGAATTTTGATCGTATTCAATTTTTAGGCCCACTAATTTGTCAGGCCGAGAGTCCCATTTGACACGGAGTTCCTGTTCCATGTTGAGTCGGAGGCGTTCCATGTTCATCTTGCTGTTACTAAACACAATACCATCGTCAACGTGTATCCATACAATGATTATGTCGTTGTCCTTCCGATATCTGTATAGGCATTCTTCAACTTCATCACATTCAAAACCCCAGCCGTGTAACAGGTGTTTGAAGTGTTTCCACCAGCATCGGCTGGCTTGTCGAGTCCCGTACAGGGCTTTTTTCAGTCGAAGTACTTTTCCATTTAGGTGGGGAAAGAGATCTGTCGGGGGATCTACGTAGATGGTTTCCTCTATAGGGCTATGGACAAAGGCTCCAGTGATGTCGAAGGAATTGATTTCCCATTTGTTTTTGATTGTGAGAGTCAATAACATTCGCAGGGTTGTGAGAGAAGCCGTCGGTGCAAAGGTTGATCGAACATCGATCCCCAGACGTTGTTTGAAACCGTGTACCACAAAGCGCGCCTTGAACTTTTCTACTGATCCATCTGATTTCCGCTTGATATCGAAAACAAAACGGGTTCCAATTGAGTGTTTGTCGAGTTTTTCTTCAATGTTGAATGTATCGATTTGTACAAGTTGATCCCATTCGGCCAGACAAGCCGCCTTCCAGGTGTGGGATTCCCGGGATCGAAGTGCATGTTTCAAACTGGTTGGGATGTCGGCATCAGAGATGGCTTGAAGATTGTCGATGATGGAGTCTTGTTCTTCGCATAATTCCTTGGTTTTCTCTTGGCCGAGGTGGAGTACTCTACGAACAATGGCTGTGTTAGCAAAGGAGTCAGGTGAAGGTACGAGGGGTTTTCCCTGGAAATCTAAAAAGTTGGCACACTCAGAATTGATGACCTTTTGGGTCTCTGGATTCCAGAAGAACCAGCCCCGCTCATCATCTTGGTAGCCCACGAGATAACCCGTCCAGCCTCGTTCGTTCATTTTGCGGCGGCGTTCTTTGGGGACATGGACACAGGCCCTTGCACCAAAAGGGTAGAAAGAATTGCCTTTGGGCGTTCGGTTGGACCATAGCTCGAGTGGGGTCGATTTGCAGCGCCGGTTGGATAAGCGGTTGATCAGGAAGCAGGCACATCGGTATGCATAAGACCAGAGTTTCGATGGGAGAAGGGAATGGTTGAGAGTTGTGCGAGCGATGTCACCAAGAGTTCTGTTGAGTCGTTCTGCCTCTCCGTTTTGTTCCGGAGTGTATGGAGAGGTGAAGATGATTTGACAGCCAACCGAGGCAAGATAGTCTTGTAGTGGTTTAACGGTATATTCTTTTGTGTTGTCGCAACGAATGAACTTGGGGGATTTTTTGAAGCAGGATGTGATTTTCTTGACGAGATTGATGAGGATAGTCGGAACTTCTGATCGAGATTTCATGGGGAACACAAAGGAATAGGTGGTTGCGTGGTCGCGGACGGTGAGGAGGAACCGGTTGCCGTGGACATCCTGGTCCAAAGGACCTAACACATCGGTGACAAGTAGATCTAGCATGTTATCCTTCGGTATGACCTCAGGTAGGGAGTGTCGGTGTCGTTCGCTTTTTGACTTTTTGCATGATTCGCATATGAATGGTGTCCAGGATTTGAGGTCGAAGTTTGGTACAAAACGTTTCAGAAAATTCTTAACGACGTTGTCGGATACATGTCCAAGGCGACAGTGCCAGTCGTAAGATGTTGGTAGGGTCGTTGTGACCGATTTGGCGGCATGTGAGTTGAATTGGAAAGACGTGGGGAATATGAGCCAGGAACGATTATGATATTGAGCCGTAACAGAAGCAAAAGGAGAAACTAATAAGATGTCATGGTTTGGAAGAAAGTGAGGTTGGAAGCCGGAGTCGACTAGTTGTCCAAGACTAAGAAGAGTTCCCGTCATTTCCGGGCTGTACAGTACCTTCGGTATCGTTAGGGTACCATCCCCATTGGTTATCTTGAGGTGTCCACTGTGGGTTGCCAGCATGGAACCATCGGAAGAGGCTAGATTCAGTTTGAGTGGAGGAAAGATGGGAGAGAGGTTGGAAAATAAGTGGAAAGAGCCGCTCACGTGGTGGGTCGCCCCAGAATCCAAAACAGTGCCTTCACCAGCTGCACCCGTCGCATCCGCGCCCATCGCTGACCGGACGATCGGGACCTGTTCTGAGCTGATGGGTGGGTCGTTCGGGGGTGCAGCTCGGCGGGCGAAACCAGAAGCGGGGCGACTCGCGTTGTCGGGAGCAGGTAAGTTTGCATCCCGTCGAAGGATGGGACAAGTGGAACGCCAGTGCCCATTTGCGCCACAGTATGAGCACGGGTTGTTGGCAAGGAGGTTGGGATCGGACGGTCCTCTGTTACCCTTTCGGATGTTGTTGATGGCGGCCGCAATGTCGTCGATGGTCGGGTGACCAGGGCGACCAACGTTTTGTTGGCGAGGTCTGGCCTGATTGCCATTGTTGGATTGGCGAGGGGCGTTCTGGGAGTAGGATGACGATTGAGAGGTCGTATTCGCATTGCGTTGTTGGCCTGGATTGCGGTTCGCCCACATGTTGTTTGGCGAGGAAGTGGGTTGATTCCAAGTACGGAATACTGAGACTGATGTAGATTGGTTCGAGTCAAATCGTAGGCTTTCGCCGTAAGCCGAAGTGATGATGGTTTGGATTAAAGATGGCATCTGATACCCGGGTACCCCAAAGAGGTGCGGGTACCCGCCTCAGAAATGTCCTAATCCGGACACCCACACCCGCACCCGCACCCGCAGAGGGTGCAGTGGGCAGGTACCCGGGTACCTGTTGCAGGTACCCGCAGGTACTTGATTTGTTTCCGGCTCAGAATTGAATCTCTCTTGCATTGCCGTTACTACACATGTTAAATAAATGAAAAAATATATATAAAAAATATAAAAAAAAACTATGTACTTCATTTTTTCCCTGATCTCCCTTTTCCTTTTTGTTTAATCTCATTTGCCTTATTTACCCTCCATTTATGTAGTACTCCAGGTTTTATTTTCCCATTCTTGGAGTAAAAAGCAACTGCCATACCTTTTGTGACTGACGAGGCACTGAGTCGGTGCCTTTTAAGGGAAACATAATCCCTCCCAAAGCTGAACAATCGTTCAACATTGACGGTCGTTGCTAGATATAAGAGTGTTAGGAATTCAACCTGGTCATCTAGGCTACAAGAAAGAAAACTTACCAGACCGGTGAGGGGATTGGCTGTGATGGATATGATATCTCCAGTGACAGGGATACATATGCTTATAAGAATAGTATTATGGATAATAATATGCTTGTATGTAACTATAAACATGCAGATCTGGACCCTCTCAAATCCGCGGGTGTTGGCAAGTACTTGCTCCGGGTACCCGCTGGCTTTTACCCATTGAAATTGGACACCCGCACCCGCACCTGGCACCCGTTTGCGGGTACCTGTTTTCAAAAACAGGTACCCGCAAACGGGTGCCGGGTACCCGGAAACGGGTACCTGATGACATCTTTAGTTTGGATATCACGAGCGGAGACGTCTTTCTTGGAACCGAGTTGAAGGGAAATGTTCTGGAAAAGTTGAGACCGGGACATAGATGTGGGGGTCGGAGATATGGCTTGGAGGATGAGGCTTTCAACGACCGTGGGCAGGCCAGCTCCCACTTTATGTAGGCCTGCAAAGATCTCGAATACCTTATTAAATAATCCCGGTACTTGTGATGGCTCGGTCGTTGGGCCCGATATGCGGAGTTCAAGCAATTTATCGATAAGTTCCATCTGTCTAAATCTGACCGTTCCCTGGAAGTTGGTTTGGACAGCGTCGTAAGCCTCTGTGCCCTTGGTGTATTGATCGACCAGAGAGGCCAACTCGTCATGGATCGTGATTTGAATGAGAAAGAGAAGACAGGTGTTTTCCTGGGCCGTGAGTTTCGCGTAGTTCTCGGCTTTGTTGAAAAAATTTGCATGTCCCAGAGTGAGAAGTATGACGCGGGTGAGTCCCCGTTTCCATTTATCGAAGTTCGAACCATCCGCAGATAGTTGTTCAACATCGTGTTTGTAGATGCTTGGTTGCTGTAGGAACTTGGTCTTTGGGGTTACTTCAGGTGCAGCGGTGGTCGACATGGGGACAGGTTGGTACACAGGAGTTGGTTGGCGAGCAAGAAATTGGGAAAATATGTAGGAGATTGGAGATATAAATGGAGATGGGGGTCGGTTGTCGGATTGATTGGTACTGGACGATGTTGGAAGGGCGGATGAGGAGGCAAGTTGATCGTTGATTCGAACGATCTGTGGATTCTGAGCCGGTGGGGGTTCGGAGATGTTAAGATTGCCGAGATTGTCAATGAGTGTGTCGATGGGCGGAGTCGGTGGAGGTGATAGTGGAAGTGGCGGGAGTTTTGAAAGTTTTCGGAATTCTAGTTTGCGCCGTCGTTCAAGTAAAGATACTGGTTTACGAGTCCGTGTCGGAGGAGGCAATGGGCCGAAGAGCTTGTCTTTTGTCGAGCGTCGAGTATGAACCATAAAATGCAGAGGAAAGAAAGAACCGGCTGTTTGGTAGAGCGGTGGACTCTTAATCTGTTGTGGTCAGAATCCTTGGTTGTGTCATTGCTCCTCCGTGTCCTCCTCTTCTACCCCTGAAGCTCCAAATGTGGAGTTTGCACACTCCCTACAACAGTTTTTAAACCAGCTCACCGGGAGGGGTTCCTCCCAACGAGCGTCTACACAATCCAGCTCGCCGGGAGGATTGTAGGGATCTTGAGAATAATACTGTTGAGTTACCCTGGTACAAAAATGAAGGGTTGTTCAATCACTCCAATCTGAATACCGAACGAGCGAAGCACAACTCACGCGCTGGAGGGGGGAAATAGAGAGGATGATGAGTTCATGTGAGATTCGAAAGAATAAGCATTGAATTCTCCTGGTTGTGCCAATTCTAGCGAAGCTGAAGCAGCGCGGAAACTTGACAAGTCGGCGTGATTTGGGGACTGATGATGAAGGCCGGGAAAAGAGCGCGAATGAGACAGATGTGCTTTTCGAGAGTTAGACTGATGATTTTCAGATTCATCTTGCTGAAGTACTTGAGTCAGA